GATTTCATTTCTGTGACGGTCCAGTGCTGTGATTGTCTGTTCACAGAGGATATGATAGATAGGCGAGCAATAAAGAGAGAATGATATTGACCGTGTTATATCGTAAGGAATCGCCAAGATGCTGAGCCTCTTGACATCCGATCTTATTGTAGTTAAGGTTCAATGAAGTCAATACCTACGTTCAAACAAGAACATTGATATGGAAAGATAATAAGGATATTAGATTAACCGTATTATATCGTAAAGCATTGGCAAGATGTTTGGCTCCAATAGCTCCTATTTTATTATCTGAAACGTTCAGGATCTTGATTGTCTATGTATGCAGAAGAAGCCGGATGTGACAGAGATGCATTGAGAATGAGAGTCACTTTATTGTTTTGCAAAATAGTAGCAATATGTGCCACCCCATTGTCTCCAATTTCATTGCTAGAAAGTTCAAGTGTAGTTATTGTCTATGTGCACAGAAAACGATAAATATGACAGAGATGAAGTGATGTGTGAGGCTCATCTTGTTATTTTTCAAGGCATTCACGACATGCTTTATCTCTTTTTCTTCAAGTTTTTTGTGAGAAAGTTTCAGTACAGTTAGTGTCTGTATGTAAGGAAAAAAATGCCGATTAATAGGTACGAATTTCAGTGTAGAGTCACTTTGTCGTTTCGTATTCCTATTGTATCTCCTACAGCATCACAGTAGCTGTTCCGATTTCCTTTCAGAACTAGGTTGATGAGTGTCTGTGTAAATAAATGTGAATCGATCAGTCGAAGATTATGATGGTAAAATGATGACGGTTACCGCGTTGTTTCGTAAAGTATTTGCGAGATATTGTGCCCCAACAAGTTCAACATTGTTATATCCAAGGTTCAGTGAAATGAGTGTCTGTTCATGAATATGTATATAAAAGAAATGGGAAGAGAATTTGAATCACCGTGTTATGCTGTAAGGCATCAGCCATATACTGCGACCCCTTGTATTGAATTCTATTGCCGGTTAAGTCTAGTGTGGTGAGTATCTATATGTATAGAAGAAACGAATAGAACAAAGTCAAAGACAGAATGCAATTAACTGCGTTGTTTTGTAAAGCATTAGCGATATGTTGTGTGCCTTTTTCTCCCATACAATTGAGACAAAGATTTAACAAGGTTAATGTCTATGTGTAGAAGAGAAAATGAACATTATAAGCATGGTATCCTAAGGAAAATACTGTGTTATCTTGTACGACAGCAGCAAGATGTGGTGCTCCAGCGTCTGCGATTTCATTACGTGAGAAATTCAGTGAAGTCAACGTCCATATCTAGAAGAGAAAACGAATATAAGAGAGTTGATGAAGGAGCATTATCACCGTATTGCCCTGTTAAACATGAGCAATATGTTGCATCCCTTCATCGCCGAGATTAGTGTCGGAAAGAGTCAGACTAGTGAGTGTCTGTGTGTAGAAAAGAAGATCTATATGAGGAAGTCAAGAGAAAATAAGAAGCACCGTGTTCTTTTTCAATAATTCAGCGAGATGTTGTGCGTGGATTGGTGTTAGTGCACTGCCAGACAATTTTAGTTGCATTAGTGTCTATGTTTATTGGACAACATTGATATTAAGAATCGACAAATGGATGATTGTTACTCAGTTCATGCGTAACATGTCCGAGAAATAGTGCGCTTCGTTTCATACAAAACATTTATTCATATGTTGTGGAGACATGAATGTTTGTCTGGGGCAATCATGTATGTGAAATTTTAAAAGGAATAAGCTCCCGGTATTTGTAGAAAAAGAAATCAAACGAGAAAAAATTGTTAAAACTTTCCGCAAGGTGTGGCATAGTTTTAATCGAAATATTTGACATCAAGATCAGTATGGAGTGCGTAGATATCACGTGTAGTCTCCCTTCAACTTGTCATTTTCGAGGTTTATTCGATATAGGTTATACATCAGATAGCAAGAAAGAAATTTGTCTAGTGCCATTTGAACGATGTTACCAACATGAATTTGATAGTTCATTGAAGACGAAAGCTCCTGAGTACGTGTTTTTCTCGTTATTTCATTGTTAATTGAACTAAACGTATGCATTATAGATTTGATCTTGAAAAGAGAATGGAGTTAGAAATAGGCTTGTCAGTGAGAGAATATATGGAAATTTATGATAGCAAGAAAGCATTTCTCGACGAAAATCTTGAGAATTTTAGAAATAACGTTAAGAAATCAAATGAAAAATTATTAGAAAATATCTGTGTTTGAGGAAGAAAATTTAACACATCGGTGTTTTAGGCAATCAAATGTAACCGTTCAGCTGTACTAAATGGTTGTCATAGCAGATAAATAGAGAAAGACAATTAGGTATTTATGTAGTGAACAAAGGTAAATATTCGTGTGAAAAGAATTTGATTCAAACAACCGGAATATCTATAAGATCTTTTGTCAATGAAATATCGCCATATTTATTATTGAAGTTAGAAAACAGGAAAAAATCATCATACAAGGGCATTCTTTTTCAAACACAACATTAGTAAAAGAGAATGTGCATAGAACGGCATTTCAGAGAATATATGAAACTTTTCAATAATATTCTCACTGAAATAAACAATTCGACACAAGCAGCTTCGTATATTCCTAGTTGATCTGAAAATTTAATTGTTGTTTACTTGATAATGGGTGAAGACATACATAACTCAGTTTACCTAGCCATCTTTAAACGGACTATCGATCAGTTATTGTACACATAATGCAGCGAATTGTCAACTCATCTGCTGGATCTCTACAATATATAAATCATTTTAAAATACATACGGCAGAACTTTCAGTTTCAATATAACTGAACCACGTTGCATACTCATATTGGGGCACTTCTTTAAAATTTGTGTTTGATATCTCGATGGACAATTCTCTGCTTATTCTTTTGCGCATATTAACTCAATCAATAATCATTTTTGGATGAAAGCATCTTTGAGGTTTCAGAGATCTTTCAACTCGCTATTCACTACAAGAAAAGCACGTCAAACTGCATGATCTCATTTGCGATCATTATCTTAAATGAAACATTCAGAGGACATTGTGCAATCATTCGTTCTTCTGTATGCGCTTGTTATATGCATAGAACTAAACAGATTTCGTAGTTTTTTGTAACTCCTGCTATTTTCTTACTTATCGATGCAAAGTTCTCGCTTTGGACTACAACAAATATGCGTTATGAACTAAAGACATTGTTGGCTAACAATGAGTAAGCATAAGAATCCTCATTAAATGTATACCAAGTCATATTTGCTTCATCAGATATTGTCGAGAATCAGATTTGTCCTGATAATTAGTTATACTATACTTAGCTTTTGAACGTACAGAAAATAAGTTTTTGAAACTAATTAGTTTTGTTACCTAACGATCTTACTTTTCTGTCGAAATCAAAGCAAAGTATAGTAATAAAATTAAATGATATGCTTGTGCAAAGAACTACTATAAACCAAGACGTGTGTATATGTTTGAAAATAATAAACAGATTATCGCTCATTCGTACAAACTGAATCTGTACACGTTCACAGAAGGACTATGTCGTTCAAGTTTCTGTATGATATTTTTACCATTGCAAGGTGTGGGTATGGATGAGGAGAACAGCAATACTCACACCCACACGTCCACCGTTCAATAGAACTATGAATTATTGTTTCAATGAGTGATAGATGCAGTTTGAGATGCCACCCACAAAGGCTTGAATAAATGAACAAACTGACTGGCAATCAACGATGTGAACACTTAATCTACTCTCAATTGAGAATAACTATTTTTCATAACATCGTCAGTTGATGAAAACTATTGTTTTGTTGTATTAAACAAAAATAAACGAATGAAATCAAAATGAAGCCAGGCGAGATTTTCGATGAAAATAGACAGAAATAAGTACTCTTTGCTAAACAAATTTTCTTACATACCTCATTTGTATCAGTACCAGTAGCTTTACTTATTGGTCGTCTCGTCAAATGATTCAGAGTCAAGGGACGTTATTTCACATCTGATTGGATTATCAAACAAGATGATGTTGATTGATGTGGTATGCATAGCGATTATTTTAAATTTTAACAAATAGGCGCAAGCAACACGCCAACATTTTTCTTCAAGCCAGAATGGTGCTCGAAATGGGGGAATGAGTGAGTCGAAGCTATTGAAAGCGTCATTTCTGGTCAGCGAATATGAATAGAAAAATTCGAACTTTTGCAGAAGAGGAAGTTTGATCCAAATAAATTGTTCTTGGTATGCTCTATTAAACAACGAATCAAACTTTCGTTTACACGAAATCAGCTGAAGATGGATAAGATCAGACGTTAAAGGAAGAAGCTATTCGGGTTGTTCTGTAAGAAGGAAATAATCAGTGATAGTGAGAGACTTCAATGACGATCGTAATGTAGAAATTGAGGACAATAGAAGATTGTCATCGGGTTCATTCATAGTACAATCTATCATTACAAGTTTGCGCAAATGAGGCAAGCAACGAAGAATATGAAGATATTGCTGGTAGACGCACACTTGTATTGTCAGATGTTCTAATCGATTTTTAATTGGCCATGATATATATTTATTAATGCATTCAATTTTTTCCAAACTAAACTTTCGAATATTGAATATAGTTATTGCTGATGACATAAAATCCAGCATTTTGCTGTAATCACTGTCACTCAAACCAATGGAAAGTGAGACAAGAGAGTCTGTGATTTTGTGCTATAAAATATGGTTAAGCTCAATGTCTTTGAGGTCATAGAGAATTAATGAAGTAAGTTGAGTTAACTGACTAACTTTCATCCAATGATGCAAATTCGGCAAATCAATTTTTTTTTTTCAGAGGTTACCGTACAAATTTAATAAAACGATATTTTTTGGTCGAATACAATGAGAAAATAAGACGAAATTAGAGGGTGTGGATGAAAACAAGATTGACACCCATACACACACCGATAGCCAGCGGCACAAATATCCACACCCACACCCTCAAAAATAGTTCGTACCAATAGTGAATGAATGTAAGTTTTAAAGGTGCGTTTTGGCCCATTCTACGATGAAATCATTGGCTTGTTTGTATGCTTTCATAATGACTGGGTTGTCAGGATTAGGTCGAGCTGCGAATCCGTGAAGAGTTCCTTCTGTTAATAGAAACTTGCTGGGTATTTCTGGTTTACGCGACAGAATCTGTTCTGCTTCTGCTCGAAGAGCATCCGTAAATTGATAGTCTTCTTGTGCGCAAACAAATGCCACAGGTACTTCCAAGTTTTCATAGTGAGTTTTATTAGTCAAAGAGACATGACAACCAACAATGGCATCTGCAAGATGATGTTCCTTACTCCCAGCTAACAATGCATAGAGACCACCAAAACAATAACCAACTGCTTGTATTCTGGTAATTCCATACTCCGAACGGAGGGTCTATTTATAAATTTTTCTTAGAGAGAAAAATAGCAGTAATATAATCATTTACTTTGAAGAACTTATCCACAACAGGAAGAGTAACAGCCTGTCGATGACGAAATAACCAGGGAGCAAGAGTTGTTAAGAATTTTCCAGCAAAGGAAATCTAAATGGAGTAAAACAACTGTCTCAGTTATTTATTTAGTATCTGTGACTTACTTTAGTACCAATAGACATCTGTTCTCCAGGAACTTCTGGTGTACCCTCCCTAAACGAAGGAGCAATCGCATCTCCATTAAATAGATCCGGTATATAGACGTCAAAACCACTTTTATCTGATAATGCATCAGCAGTAATACGTGGATTTTTTGACAGGCCTATTTCAATGTTTTAGACGTATCAAGAACGCTAACGTAAAGGATAAATACGTACCGAATATATCGGTTAACAAGATAATGGCCTTGTTTTTGGATGCATCGTCTGTCCCCATAACATGATAAGTAGTGATTTCGGCGACTTTGATAATTCGTCCTCTGGGAGTTCCAGGCAATGGATGATACTCAGTGAGACAACACGCATCTAATTTCTCATTGATGACTTCAGAAGCCATTGAATCCTTCTCTCTTTTCTATAAATACTACTACTTCACTTTGCCTTGTATTCACCTTTAGTCGTGTGCACAGAATGAATAAAACAAGGACTCTTGCTGCCGTATAAGCATAAGAAAAATTCTTCTTCTCTTACCGGTTTATCATAAAATGTCAAAAGAAAGAGAAAAAAGTAACAAGAAAAAGAAAATTTTGCACAAAGGACGCGTGCATTCGTCGATTGATACAAGGTTATGTTGCCTTTTTCTATCTTGAAAACGTCAATTTACGGTAGGCAAGATGGTTCGAAAACTCAAAAGATCTCTACGATTCGCGACTCTGTTTGATTGAAACTTATTTACTTGATTGAAGACAGGATGAATTCGAAAGATAATTTTATTTTTTAGCGATAGAAATGTAGTACTCAGAATGTATAGATTAATTTTTATTTCATTCTTGATAAATATCGATATAATTTTCGAGTCGCATTTGTATATAGCAAGAAAAAGTAATATTGATCACATCTAAATGTGTTATCTTCAATAGTCTCATAAAAATCGATCCACAATCATCTAGTGTTTAATTTCAGCTACCTGCAAGTATATCTACACCTGCTCTGTTTCTATTTAGAAAATTTTCTTCCAAAAGAATATATTCAGACATTGAGAATTCTCACTATTCTACGCATTGTATATGCATCAAGTATTATGCTTTGAAGAAACAACATCTATTCCTACTTATCGTATTCGCTATCATTGAACT